AAATGAAAACTAATGTATTGAAATATTCTACAATAATAAAATTTAGAAACAGTTTTTTCTTTCAGTGAATTCTTTTACAGTTACGAACACATCTGTTTTAGCCGTTAAACTTTCTTTCTTTTCACTTTTCGAAGGAACATATTTTTGTGGATCATTAAAACTAGAAGCTAAACACATAAAGCGAATCATATCTTAATTGCAAATATTTGAAACAGATTCTTCCTGTGAAAGTGTTCTTCTTTTAATATGTCAGACGTTTAGAATTTTTTTAATTCTTAAACAAGTAACATATTTCATTAATATTCTTTTAAAGTTTCGAGAAAATAATTCAGAAGCTTCGTACTCGAAAATAATTGTTTAGAATTTCAGTATTAGAGAACAATTTAAAAGAAATTATTCGTCGAGTGTGTTGTATTGGATTTAAGAATTAAACTGGAAGTGCTCTGCGTAAATTGCTGAACACCATTATGTAAAAAATTAGGAATGTTTTACAAATTAATAGTTTAATTAATAATTTAAATTTCAACGGGAGATACTTTACTTAAATTGATTAAAAATATGTAAAAAAAAAGGAAGAATGATTTATTTAATAATAGTTCAGCCCCTTGGGGACGGGTAATACATAAAAGCATTCGTACAAAATCAGAATCAGGCTGGAAAAAAGTAAAAAGCAGTAGCTTAAATACGGGCATGTCTAATTTGACGAACTTTATTTGCTTTCGCTTTAATCAATGTTGGTCTAACCACATGTCTGACCAATGATAGAATGATAGTTCAAAGTGTAACGATATAATTTTTGTTTTGAACTAAGTAGTGCTGAATTAAATAAATTAATCTATTATAATCCCACATATAAATAAACTTTTAAATAATTAGTCTGGTTATGAGTTTTATCTTTTTACTTTGATTGATAACGTTTCTTACCGGCACATATTTGAGACAATCGGCGTGAAGGGGTTCATTAATGATTTAAGACTTTGACTCAGAATTTTTATTCGATACATTTCTCATACTTTTTCATTATTTTTTAGTAATTAATGTGAAAATAAGTGAAATATATTATATTTAGCATTTTAATAGTTTATGGTTATGAAATACATCTATAAACATTGATATCTTTTTTTGGGTCCAAACAGTAACTTTTAAACAATATTTTTTTCTATTTGCACTTACTTGCAGTTATTTATATCTAAGTGAAAAATTTCATCATTAAAATTTATTTAATTTACAAAACTAATTATTGATGAAGTTCAAATTATTCTTTATGGATTATAATTCCGACAGTCTAACATAATCTGGCATAACTTGATAAAGTTCAAACTACACTTTTTGACTTTCAGTTTGGATTATAATTCTGATAATTTAACATAACTTGATAAAGTTCAAACTAAACTTTATTGGTTTTATTTTAGAATATAATTCCGATAATCTAACATAATTTAATATAACTTGATAAAATTCGAACTACACTTTTTGGCTTTTACTTTACATTATAATTCCGATAATCTAACAGATTAATTTTAGTAGCTTATTTGACTGTTATGTATACTAAAAAATACCAAAATATATTTTCGCTTGTAATTAGTGCATCAGAAAAAATAAATAAAAGGTACACCGGTGCTGGGTTAAAGGGTTAAGAAGATGCTATACCATGGGGTAAACTTTTTATGGCAAATTCTCCTTTACCTCAATCGGTCTATTTTAAAATTAAGATTTCAAAGGAAAGTGACTTCAGTTAAATCTAGAGTGAACTATATTGTGACTACCAAGTAAAAAGAGTCGCAATAAATAGTTATGGTGACTTATATGTGAGATCACAAGACAGAGTAACATATAAGTCACATTCTGAACTCCGTAAGGCAATTCAAACAGATCACACGTGTGACTGTTGTGACCGTTTTTGAATTTACTATGACGTCACTGTGACAATTTGTGCTATAAGAGCTTTGACGCAGAATTTTTATGAAGCATATTTTCCATATTTTGTGTTATTTTAGAACGAAATAATTGAAAAATATTAAATTTAGCATTTTAATAATTTATGGTTATGAAATACAGCCTAAAACACAAGTGTCTCTTTCTACCTAAGAGGTAAAATCTTTCAAACACAGCTCCTTTTCAAACTAAAAATTTTCAAATTTTCATTTATTTGCAGTTATTTAGATCCAAGAGAAACAGTTATTCATCATTAAATTTCTTTAATTTACAAAATAAATTACTGAATAAAGTTTTGAATACGAATTTAAAAATTATTTTTCAAACTACTTTTTTAGGATTTTATATTTTAGTACAAATTTAGTTCCGATAATCTAAAACATTTTTTCAGTTACTATTAGACTGTTTTTTAATAATTAGAAAATAACAAAATATATTTTTTCTTTTAATTAAAGCGTCATAAAAACTTATATATATATATATAAGAGTATATATATTTTCTGAGCTTCTCTTAAACGAATTAGCGCCATACCATTTCTCCAATTTTTCTTTCGTATAAATTGATTTTTTTTCAATTACCGTTGACTTAGTTTTATACATATACAATTTAATAGCTTAACTATGAACAAAATAAACACGTGGTTTCAGATAGTTTTAGAAATATTGATTTGGTGAAATAGACTGCGCATGATATTATGTTTACACTAATCATTTAGTTTATCAGATGTAGCGGATATAAAATAATTAATTATTACAGAATGTGAATATTGTTTTAAGTCATAAGAGACTTAACATTGCAAACATTAATGAAATTAACTCTAAAATATTCGAAAATAAAATCTAGCCGTCTATAATTTAATTTAAAACAACGGCTAGTGTTAAACCAATCAAAAAATTCCATTTTACACATGTCCCGAATGATCTAATTGAATATTTTGAACAAATTTTAAGACTGAGGACTGAAATTGGTCACCTGCTGCCCCAGTCCAAATTTAAGTACGGACGATAAAACAAACGGTCCTGGAGTTTTAAGAGACACACAGATAATTCATTTTATTATTATTATAAATAATAGAACACTCACAAAGAGCTCTCTCAAATCTATGGCATGCATTAGTTATAATAGATTTTTTTACTAATTTCAGTTAATTACAATTTTGTTCGAATTTATTATTACTATTACAAAAGTTTTTCCAGTTACACAAAGAAACACGATATTTAAAATAATTCTCAGGAGTTTTATCGCTTAAAACTCACGTCATCGAAATATATATATATATTTTTTTATTTTAAAATAAAATTTTTTGACTAAACAAAAGACTCTAAAAATTTAGTTACAACAAACGATTTTTTTAACTCGTCCTTAAACTAAGAAATATTTCTGAAAAAAGTATATATAGTTTTTGACTTACATAAATATTTATGAAAAAAACTCATAAAAAGGAAACGATAATTATATTTAAGTCGCATAACTTGAAAAAACGTTTTTACTCAACTATCGCAGTAAAACTTAACTTTTTATCAATAATCCATAAATAGCGTTATTATTTTATCCTAACGAAAAAATTTAACTACTTTATCTTAAACTTAAAGACACTTAACAAACTAATAAGCTTCTTGAAAAAAAAAATTGAGTCTTTATTTTAATCAATTATGATTATACATAAATGACGAGTAATTAAATTTCAAAACTAATTAGTTTTTTTTGCTACTCTCGTAAATTTTCTTAGTTCTGTTGGTTTCCTTAAGTAGAAAAAAAATGGTTGATTACTAATTGATGCGTTTTACAGTTGAACAGGGTTCTAAAAATAAATGTCTAATTCGTGTTGTTTACTAGTAAAACCTAATTATTTTAGCTGTATATTGATCAGCATAGCAATTTAAATTGTTTTTACTAGCATTATTATTTTTTAATTCTGAAAATGAGAGAAGTTAAAAAAAATTTGAAGAGTGCTTATAATTTTTTGTGAAATTTGAAATAGTATTATCTCTTATCAATAGCTTCAAGCGCTTTTTTAAAACAGCAATTAAAGTAAAAATAATTAGTGTTGTATTCAATTAAAATAAAACAGGTTTTTTCTACAGACTAGCTCACTTATAAAATTATTTTTCAGCGGAAGGACGAAATTCTCGAAGAGAGTACTGAAGTTTCTCATGGTACCTTAGATAAGGAAGAAAAATAAATATTTAAGAAAAAACTTAAGAGCTAAGTTTTGAATTAAAACTACTATATAGTGACTTGGACAAGATAATGTTAATTTGATTATCAAATCTGGAATGTCGAAAAATGAATCAAAAATGGAACTTTAAAGAGCTTTGAATTTATTTTTTATCGTATATGCAACTTATCTTTATAAAATTTATTTAATTCTTCCTCAATATTTTGTAAATATTAATATTTTAAATAATTCTTTCCCTACATTTTACGAGCCACGATAGTCTGACTGGTAGAGCGTTTGGCCTATGTTTCAGAGGACGTGATTTCATATCTCGCCACCTTTATTCAAAATGGTGACAGGTGTGCGCTAAATCTGTCGGGGTAACAAAGTTACTCCAAGCTCCCATTACAAATCGATATCTCTGGTGGTACTGACTCGGAGATTGATGATTCTCTAATTTAGGTCAAAATTACTATGATGGATGAATGAATGGCGTGTGAACGAGCCCGCTATGTGAAACGGACTTTGACGTATGTGTGTGGCAAAAGTAGAATTCTTGGCTATAGATGGCGCCACTGGGAAAAGAATAAGACGCACCCCTCTGCCTTAAATATGCTTACTGGAATTGGCATAAGACAACAACTATATTTGCAACTAGTATTAAATTTGACATATTTTTTCCACAAAAATTTACAGCAACAGTGGTGCTGAAAATGAAGACCGTTTTTAGATTTGGTTGATTTTCTCCGGAACAACTCAAAAGAATATAATGAAATTTGGTACGAACTTAAATTGACATAGAACGAATAAAATAACCATACAGAAGATTTTAATACATTAGAATTATCGTGCTTCACTTATCGGAGTGGAAAGGTATGAAACAGTGGTAATGAGCTTTTGTGTCACATGCGTCACAGTGTTGCAGCTAGAGGGCATGATAGCTGCAAAAAACGGAATGCAAGGCAAATGAACCATCAAATGCACTGTGTTATGTACGGTTACATGGGAAAAAACGCGACTAAACGTGAGTTTGAATGCGGGATGATTGTAGACGTTCGAAGCTTCGGAACCAGTATCATCGAAATCGCTGCTCTTAAAAAATGTTCGAGAGCAGCAGTTATTAATGTGTACAGAGAGTGGACTACCAAGCAGAAAACCGGGTCTCAACGTCAAGGTTGTGGTCGTCACAGGCAACTGAATGCTCGAGCTGAAAGGAGACTTTCCAGAGTTGTCAAGCCCAACAGAAGAGCAACAGTAAGTCTAATAGTGAGGAATTCCAATGAAGGTGCAACTGCGAACGTCTCTGACCGACCTTTTCACCACACATTACACAGTATTGGGTATGGTAGCCGACGACCTGTTTGAATGCTTGTGCTGTTAGCCTGTGTAAGAGCAGACGCTTTCAGTTTGCAAAGGAGCATAAGGATTGGACAGTAGATGACTAGAAAAGAGTCATGTGTTCTGATGAATTGACATTTTCAAATTCATCATGCAGATTGCAGGGTATGGATATGGCGAGAACAACGCGAGACATGAACCCGAACTGAATCGCCACAACACTTCCAGCTCACCTGGCCCCTTTCTAAGCAATATCTAGTCATCAATGACACCGAGACAGAACCGACTTTCATCAGAAAACAAAATCGACTTCCACTCTGTCCTCCATTGAGCTCTAACTCGACGCCACTCACGTCTTAAACGGCAGTAGTTTGGAGTCGTGAAATGCAAGCTACACGGAGTCTCGCTCTGAGCTGCACTTGAAGTAACCGATTTTTTTATATAACCGTCGTTGAACAGCCGACCCAATTTTATGGGTTTACGGCCACTGATGTTCAACTCCGTTGCCTTGAAATTTTGAACCCAATCCAGAAGAGAAGTTAACTCCTGGATCGAGTATTGGGAGAAATTTTGCCTTCGTGAGGGACTTTTTTATGGAGCTTACCCGCATTTGCGTTACATGGAGAGGAAGACCACGAGAGCCTCCCACAGTTAGCCTGACGACAAAGGGACTCTAACCCATGATCCGTCTACCACTTAGGATATTTCATGTCAGCACTGTGGTCGGTGCAAGCCAGATGCGGATTTCGTACCGACTGGGATTCGAACCCGGTTCGCCGCATTGGAAGGCGAACGCTCTACCCCCATAGCCATCGTGACTCAAGTGGCCGATTTGTAACAGTTCGTTGACTCACACTACAGTCGAAACTGCAGCTTGAATTTCTGATGCACAGAAGCAGTACAGTATGTCACAGCCACACGCCGTACACGGTTGTCTCCCGTCTGAGTAGAGCCACGTGGCCATCCACGACTCGATCCTCTTGTACCTTTTCTTGTACCTCAGTACCTTTCCTTGACCACTGCTGACAACAATCAAGCACAGTGTATACGTTTTCCCCCCGTCTTTCAGCAATATCGTGAAAAGAAAATACACCTTCTCGTATTCACCATTATGTCAGAAGAGCAGTCTTCATGTTGGATAGCTGCTCTCCCTTCTATGCCTTTTGAAGGAGACGCTATAATATGTGAGAAGTAGGTCTTGGAATCCTATATGTCTTTTCCGGTGTTATTCTTTTTAAATAGACGAAATCGCACGTCCATATAGACATTATCTGATCGACAATTTTACGGAAAGCATTAGCCGGATGGAAGTTGCTTCTTGTGTGCCAGATCTCTTGAACCGAATTTTTTAAGAACACGCTTGGAACACTCAGATGAGAACGATTACAAATCGCAATCCCCTTTTGACAGTCACCCAGGGATTGAAAAAGCTTTGATGAACGAGTGAGGACAATTCCTTCAGTAGTTTCTACATATCTCGCATGAAACGATAATGTTCCATAATTTTGTTCTGCAACTGCTGTTTTATATCTTCCCCTTTCGATGAGTGAAGGACGATCATTCTTATGAATTATAAACTGCTGTACGGTTATTTAATTCGTACTATATCAATTTAAGTTCATAAATTTCATTTTAATCTGTTGAGTAGTTCTGGAGAAAATCAGCTAAATCTGAAAACTGTTTTCATTTTCAACACTACTGTAGTTGTAAACTGTAGTGAAAGAATTATGTAAAATACATTACTAGTTGCAAAATATAGATGTTGTCTTATGTCAATACCAGCAAGCCTATTTAAAGTAGAGGGGTGTGTTATCTAGGGGAGCTATTTATGATCAATAATTCCAATTTTGCTACACACATACGTCACAGCCTGTTTTACAGAGAGGACTCGTTCATACGCCATTCATCCACACACAAATCGTAATTCTGACCTGAACTAGAGAATGATCAGTCTCCGTTCCTAAACCGCTAAAGGTATTGATTTGTAATGGGAACTTGGAGGGTAGAGGTAATGGGGTACCGCTAGAGGTAGTGGGAATTTGCAAAATATTGAGGATGAATTATATAAATTTTATAAAGATAAGTTGCATATACGATAAAAATAAATTCAAAGCTCATTAAAGTTTCATTTTTGATTCATTTTGCAACATTCCAGTTGTGATAATCAAATTAACATTATTTTGCTTAAATCACTTAATAATAGTTAGGGTTTTTAATGTCAAACTTAGCTCTTAAGTTTTTCCTTAAATATTAATTTTTTCCTTTTCTAAGGTACTATGAGAAACTTTAGTACTCTCTTCGAGAATTGTTCTTTCCGCTGAAAAATAACTTTATAAGTGAGCTAGTCTGTTGAAAAACCTGGTTTTACTTTAATTAAATACAGCACTAATTATTTTTACTTTCTTATAATTACTGTTTTAAAAAGCGCTTAAAGCTATTTAAGAGGAATTACACTGCTTCAAATTTCCTAAGAAAATTATAAACACTCATGAAATTTTTTTACTTCTCTTATTTTCAGAATTAAAAAATAATATTGCTTGTGAAATCAATTTAAATTGCTATGTTGTTGAATATACAACTTAAATAATTACGCCTTACAAGTCAACAACACGAATGAAGCATTTATTTTCAGAACCATGTTCAACTGCAAAACGCATCAATTAGTAATCAACCATTTTTTTCTACTTAAGAAAATCTACATACCTTAGAAAATTTACGAGAGTAGCAAAGAAACTAATTAGTTTTGAAATTTAATCACTCATCATTTATGTATAATAAGTCTAAAAGTTTTTTTTTCAAGAAGCTTATTAGTTTGTTATTAGTTTAAGATAAAGTAGTAACATTTCTTGTTAGGATAAAACAATAACGCTATTTATGGATTATTAATAAAAAGTTAAGTTTAACTGCCATTGTTGAGTAAAAACGTTTTTTCAAGTTATACAACTGAAATATAATTATCGTTTCCTTTTTATGAGTTTTTTGCATAAATATTTATGTGAGTCTGAAATAAAACAAGTGTTTTTTTCTGAAATGTTCGCTGTTTAAGGGCGATTAAAAAGAAAATCGTTTGTTGTTACTAAAATTTTAACAAATTTTATTTGAAAATAAAAAAAAATTGAATTAGGCCACTGTTGCGAATTTTAAGAAATGACATTCCTCAGAATTTTTTTTAAATATCGCGTTTTTTAACTGTAAAAACTTTTGTAATATAATAAAATATTTGATAAAAATAAACTTTTAATTAACTGAAATTCGTTAAAAATTTATTACTATAACTACTTATGACATAATGTGAAAAAGTGCTTTGCTTATGTTCTAATATTTATAATGATAAAATGAAGAGCTTGTGTGGGTGTGTTTCTTCAAACTCCAAAAATCTTTGTTCTATCGTCCGTCCTTAAATTTTAACTGCAACTGCAGGAAACCAATTTTAAGGCCTCGATTCTAAAATTCGTTTGAAGTTTTCAAACAGATTATTTGGGAGAGGCATGTGCAAAATGTAATTTTTCGATTGGTTTAACATTAGCCCTTGTTTTAAATTCAATTATAGAGGGCTAAATTTTATTTTCAAATATTTTAAAAATAACATCCTTAACTTTTGCAAATATATAGCTCTGATGATTAAAACAATATTGCACATTCTTTCTTAATTAATTATTCATTTTTGTTACATTCGATAAAATAAATGATTAATGTGAACGTGGTATCATGCGCAGTCTACTCCCCCAAATGAGTATTCCTAAATTTATCTGAAACCACATACGTTTTAATTTTGTATATCTATAAAACTATATTTAAAATCAACCGTAATTAAAAAAAAGTAAACAAGTTATCTACTTAAATGTGAGAAAAAGAAGTGGAGAAATGGTATGGCACTAATTCGTTTAAGAGAATTGTAGATAATTGCCATACTAAGATGGACACCAATGATACATTTTTGTTTTTAAATAATAATTATTTTTCAATTAGGTATTTTGAAGTGTCTATATCTGTTTACATATTTATAATTTTTTAGTTTCACAATTAATAAATATTTCTAAGAATAAACTAAATTTAAAGTTTTATATACAACCTTTTGCTGGTGATCCAGCCACATAATAGAAATTATCCAAATAATAGAAATTACTAAAGTGATAGAGATCATTAGTATCATTAGTAGCATGCAACATTAATACTAATTCTAATTTACTTATAATAATAATAATAATAATAATAAATGGACTTGAAACTTTTTCAAATCCTAATGCCATCCCTTTTAACCCTAATTTAAACTAAATTTTAGCTCAAATAATGCTAATGCATTTGAGCTACCAACACCATGAGCTAAAAATGTTTTTACCCATACTATCAATAAAATAAAAATACAAAATAAATGTTTTACTCAAACTGATAAATTTACTGAAATTATTTTGATAATTTTCACAACAACCCCTAAATTACCTCTCATTAATGGAAAATTTAAAGATTATTCCGCTCTTTTTTTAATTGATTCAGGCTCTTCACTTTCAATAATTTCTAATGAAACATTTAAAAAACTGAAACATAATAATAAGCATAAACTTATTTCATTTTCAGTTTTAATTATTACTATCAATTCTAAGGTCTCATTTTTAAGTTGTATTCAAATCTCTTTCACAATAAATAATGAATTATACAAACACATACTTTTTATTACATATTTAGATAATTCACTTTTAGAAGGGATATTGGGATATGATTTCATGCGAATGCATAATATCCAATTATCTCCTAAGGGCAATTCTATAACAATTAAAGGTGACAGGGGACCATTGGTAAGGCAAAAATTGTAATAATAATGTAAACATTGATTATGATGAAGACACTGTCTCAAATATTTATGGAGAGATTCAAATAGATAAGCAACATTCGGACACTAAACAAAATGGACAGGTCATATTAAATCATAAAATTTTGTTAAATACTTAAGAACATAATTTTGCAAAAATAATCTAATATATATAATTCTCTTACGTGGCTCCCAAAATTTGGCTGCATTTCTTTTCCAC